AAGTTTTTGAACTGCATACTTTAGTAGAAAATTGTAATTTACAGTTTCCTGCTTCTGAGAGATAATTTATAAAAATTTGGACTTCAAAAGATATGCGCCACAGATAAGCAAATTTAAAAAATCAAAAACGATGTTTTATTTATGGTGTTTATTCACATCATTGTTTATCTTCTATTTCACTAACAATTCGTGGAACTTCTTGAAGCAATTTTTCTGTATCGATTTCAAAATTTGCATCCAACCAAATGTCTTTTAGTTCTTTAATAACTATACCCATTATTTTGCCCTTTTTAATCTCTTGTTTCAGCATGTGTCCACTAATTGGAAACCTAAAATAAAATAGATATTAAAATGATAGCACTAGTAATAAATACAAAATGTGGATATTTTAATCCTAACTAGAGAATATCCATTACATGTTTACTTTACCTAGGAAGTGCAAATTTTTCAAATTCTGCAACATAATTAAAAAGTAGTTTGCACCTAAGTAGTTCACAAATAAAAGCCTTGCAATAATTTGTGTTTCCTTTCCAATGAACAAGAATACGTTTATAATATTTTAGGTTTTCTGATGGTCTGCTTTCCTTGAAACTGACTAAAAATGATGCTAAATCTCTTTCGAATGCAGACAATTTTAATCTTTTATGAAGATTGAACGCTTCATCTACATCTTTTAACATCAGAGCAACATAGGAGATTGCATTCAAAGAAACATTGTTTTCTTTGCATTTATCATAAACAGTTTCAAACCTTTTTGTATCCACATTTTCTGGTAATCCAACATATCTGAGAAAACAATGTATTGGTTATTATTTAATTATTATGATCATCACTATCATTGTAAATGAAAACATTACTTTGCAATACCACATTCCAACATTTTTAATGTCAACTCCTTTGCATAATTCCCAGAAAGAATTTTCGACCATTCACTCCAAATTCTTTCACCTGATATTATTTCTAGACCCTGTACGTTTTCTTTTATTGCTGTTATTGCTGGTTCATTATAGGCATCTGCTTGTTCTGTAATTCTTCCATAAAACCGAAAATATCTACAGGATAATAAAGTTTAAATATAATTTATTCAATGCACCTATATGAGATTTTCGATTGTAATATTATTAAAGAATTATATATTATATTAATATAATTAAAATTAAGGAATACCTAAATATTCTAAGATAATCTTCTTGGATTCTGAGTGTTGGAACTCCAACAAATACAATTTGTTTTTTTTGTAGATCATCAAAACCAAAAAAGTAATCGTATACATTTCCCTCAAAATCAAGAAACATGGAATTTACTGTAAAATCTCTACGAAGGGCATCTAATTTCCAATCTTTTGTATATTTAACTTTAGCACGTCTACCATCTGTAACTTCGTCAATTCTGAGAGTAGTTACCTCAAAATTTTCCTTGTCATTGATTCTTGGGGTCACTGTACCTGTAAAATTTTTAACGAATTAACCTCATTCTGCTGAAATATTTTGATTTAATTATTAGTAGTGATATTAATGTATTATATTTACCATGTTTTTCTCCTTTATTATTAATCATTCTAATTTGCTCTTCTTCAAACATATTTTTCATTTCATCTGGAGTTGCATCTGTTGCAAAATCCAGATCTGTTGGGGTTTTACCCATAAGAATATCTCTGACAGCACCACCAACAATTCTTATTTCATAATTTCGTTTTTTAAATAATTTTGCTAAAATGTTTAATTCTGGTGTAAACAATGAATGAAATAAAGGATTATCCAATTTTGTAACCAGTGGATCATTTCTGCAGGGTGGAATGTTTTTCATCTCAACTGGTACCCAGTGATGGTATGCTTTCTTAAAATTTTAAAACATTAATTGTAATAAAAATTCTTTATAATACAATATTGACTAAAATGATATGTTGTGTCTATAAACAAACAAAATAAAAACATAATCTTAAGACAGCAAATGCTAGCAGGTAGCTTTTTGCATCTACCAGATTACATCGTCTAGCAATTTAAGTTTGACTTTTCATAGATAATAAATTACAAAAGAACAATTTTGAATTTAGTAATCTATTGCAACAAATTCCAGCACTTAACCTCACTTGCTAAGTAAAGTTATGTATATTTCGTATAAAACAAAATATACATTTACCTTCAAAAAACAATACGATGCCAAGTAATTCAATCGTGGCAAAATTAACATTATTTTGAAATTATTTGATGACAATTTTGTTTTATGAAACAAAAATTCAATTACTTTATGACGAAAGCATTGTCGTTGGTCACTATATCCGTATCTTGTATTGACAGTGTGATGAAGGCTCTCTACAATCTGTCCTTTAATTTTATCTACTTTTAATTTTAATTTAACTACTATTATCCAAAGTATGAAATAAATAAGCAATGAAAATTATAAATAAAATTCAGAATACGAGTGCCAAGTTGATAATCAATACATACATATGTATAACTTTCAAATTTGTGCTACATACATTATATGTATGTGTGTATGTGTATACGATACGTGCTACACGATTTCATCCAATTAAATAATCAGAATAATTTTATATTTTTCTAAAAGTGTATTTATTGTAAAATCTATTACATTTATTTTATGTATATATTAATTTGATGTTGAACCTTAAGGTCGATATTTATAAATAGATTAGTTTCACAAATCATACATACCTA